ATAATAATAATAATAATAATAATAATATTGAATATTTTCAATTAGGCTGCAGAAACACTCATTTGACTAGAACATTAGAACCAAAACATTTTGCTGACACTTTCAAATTATTAACATTTATACAAATTATATATCAATTTATATACACACCCTCATTTACTCAGATAATGAAAATATTCCACTAATAAGAAAAAAAATACTAGAAATTCAATTTTCTCCAATTTATTTTACTCAGATATCTGATTAGTAAATTTTTCACGAGATGAATGCTTTACATCTCAGCATTCATATAAATAAAAAGAAAGGTGATTATATTAATCTTATGTAGGATTCCGACACTTATTTTCCTTTTGTCGCAGTTGAACAACAAGAAATAAAAGAGCCAAATAAGCTGCCTGTTGCAGTGCATTTTCAGAATTATCACCAGAACCATAAAACACGGCTTCTGAAGAATGATTTATTTGTAAAAATGTTGTTTCATTACCAGTAACAGAAGGTCTACCAGGCATTACCGATTTTTGTATCTCTAAGCATTCAAGAACTTTATCCAAATGAGACATCCAATCCACACCTGAATCTTTGTCTTCTTGAAATGTTAATGGGAATTTTATAGTTGATAATATTTCCCATGCAGACTCTTGACACTCCTGCGACATTTCAGAAAAAAAATTGTGATACATGTAAGGGCTTCTGTTTAATCTGAATTTTTTACGAGGTGTTCCAACAGCAGCAATATATTTTGATGCAGCAATTTCAACATTATCATGTGAAGGCTGTTCAACATGTTCGCTTTGAACATCTTTCAGTACATCACTAAGAGATTCCTTCAACCTGTTCATCATGTTAAAGGCAGCAAGTTGTTTGGCTTGTTTCTTTGTACGTCCAATACCTATTTCTCTTTGTTTACTTACAGAGCACACAAATGTAAAAATTTTCTCATGCGGAGCCCCCTTTTCTTCAATAAGATCATAATCTGGCATTGGAATTTCATTTGTAGCACACATGTCATGTAGGGCACCAATGGCATTTTCTTTCAGTTGATCTTTATAGGGAGTCACAACTTCCACAGCTTCTGGAGGTACTCCAGGAGGTTGTGTATCTGCTATCTGATGAGTTGCTAAGCGTTCCAGAGCAATGCGTGCCGCTTCATGTTTGGCTTCTTTCTTTGATCTCCCTGACCCAATTGCAGTAACATTGCTAGCAGTCACTCTGTACTTAAATACTGTTGTATGTGTTCCACTGCCATCATATATCAAGTTATAAGTGGGAGGGGTGCCCAGGCGAGCCATCATTTCTTGAAGAATAGAAACAGGAGTTTTCGATCCCATTTTGTTTCCTTAACCTACAGACGACACATTAACCCTATTTTGACCTTGCCTCTTTCACCCTGTGGATTGTCACGTTTCGTTGAACTCACTGTATTCTTGCGACTGGAAGGCAATTCTTCTTAGCTAGAAGAGAGTTCTTGTTCTAGCTCCGCAAGTGTCGGTCAATTATTACCGCTCGTAGTACTGAAAAGCAAACGGAAACAACAAATAAGATGTCAAGCATTAAACAGAAGAAATAAGATCACACTACAATTAATTTGAATGTTTGTTCGTAGGTGGCGTGTGGCATGCAATACCTAGCACAACGAAAGGTACTGCACGGCGACCTGGCTGCTCGTAACGTTCTTCTAGCGCGGGACGGCATTGTGAAGATATGCGACTTCGGATTGGCGCGCAGCATGTACAAATCAGATACCTACAAGAAAAAAGGCGACGTGAGTGGTATTTTGTAATTTTGTAAACATTTAAGTTGGAGACAGCATATATCGCGTATTATCGCAATTCAAGCAACAAAAAAACTGCAGGTAGTAAAAGTTGAAAACTGCAGGCAGAAATGAAAAACGGATTTTTTTAAATTGAAAACAACTATTACCCTTTAATATTGATTACTATAATTATATCGTCACAGACTTCAGCAGTGCTTCTTCAGAAAAAGACTTCCATGGTGAGAAACTATACGTGGGATTTTATTTCTTGGCTTGTGAGAGGTTGTCTTCACGGAAAATCTCACATTTCGCGTCTTTCTCAGCCATGCCGCTAGATGTCGTATGATCAGCACTGCTCGATATGATTGCGATCATGCGACATCTAGAGGCAGGATCGAGAAAGACGCGAAATGCAGTGAGG